TCTTTTGTTAATGAATAGTTTCGAAAAAACATTCTTTTTTTATGGGTTTGTCAAATTTAGGTCAATAAAAGCAGATTTATATAACTTAAGTGCATACTATGTGTGTGGTAATGACTGTAATTAACAAAACAGACTGAGAGTTGTTTATACAGCTCAGACGTGAAGAGCTACCGGTAAATGAAATTGTGACAGCTGAGCACTGTGTTAGGTTAGTGTTTCCCCTAGTGGGGATGAACCTTCATCCTTTGTTGTTTGTTTTTTCAGTTGTTGTTGTTTGCTTTGGGGGGGGGGGTCCAATTCAATCAATAAAAATATAAACACAGAGGAGCACAGACTGGAGGCATCTTTCAACACACTTTGTTAAGCCGTTAAAAGTTGAATGAAATAAAATTCACTTATATTAAAAAAAAAAAGAGAGAGAGAGAGAGAGAGAGAGAGAGAGAGAGAGAGAGAGAGAGAGAGAGAGAGAGTAGAGAAAAGAAAAGAAAAGAGAAAAAAGCTACAAAAAGTGCTGAGTGCAATAATGGACTGCCCCTTGGATGTCAAAATCTAAAGAACTAAATGTGTGCCTTTTTTGTACGCATTTTCACTCTTCACGCCAAAATTACCCACACTCTAGCTTTCAGTGACTCAATTCACTGTGTGTGAATTGGCAAAACATGACCAGAAGGAACCAAAAACAGAAAACAATCAAGAATCAAGAAAAACTTGCCAGGCTAAAAGGGTAACCATTTACAGTATGCAGTGTGACCGCCTGCTGGAGCCTATCCCAGCAGGCTTCATCCAAGACACACTGGACTCCATGCCAGCCAATCACAGGGCGTGCATGGACAAAGGCAAACTATTATTTTTGTACGCACATCACACTTAAGGATAATTTAGAGTCTTCAGTTAACCTACCATGCATGTTTTGGAATGTGGGAGGAGGTTGCCGTCCCCAGAGAAAAGCCACGTAAACACACGAAGAACATGCGAACTCCACACAGGAAGCCCTCTTATGAAACCATGACCTCTGAACTGTGAGGTGGTCTTGCAAGCAAGTCAGCCACCATGCCGGCAACCTTAGTTGTGTCATCTATCGTGTGTATAATGGATGTGCTCGCTTCATTTATTTTAAGGTAGTGTTTCTTAAGCTTCTCAGAGGTACAGAACCCAACCAGTTAATATGCACATTCAGTTAATATTCACTTTATTAGTGAAAAATAAATAAATATGATTTTTTTAACAAATTCAAGATATTAAAAAAACCCGCATTTATTAAAATTTCATGGCATAAATATAGGTTTTTTAAATCGTATGGCGTACAGTCACACTTGACTACGAAGCGAACTAAATTCCCAACAGCACTGATTGGACAAGCAATGTAATGTGATCACATGTAGGCAGTGATGGCCATGGCAGAGCCTCCGTCGAACCCCTGAGACTGATTCACCGAACCCCTAGGATTCGATCGAACCCAGGTTAAGAACCACTGTTTTAAGGGTAATATATAATCACACTGGTTTGATTTTAAATTAGCAGTTCTAATGTTGCAGCTCCGAAAAAAGGAGAGCTGTGGAGTTGGTTTTTTAAAACGTAGACTTTATTAACGCTTTTAACAGGCTCAACAAATACAGGGGCGTCTCTCCCGACTATGTGCCTGCTCTTCAGCAGTTCGACTTGAGAGGTATTCAAAGACCGCCCCCGAAAAACGTAAATTAACGATAACTTCAATGACAGAAGGAAAAGCGAAAATAAAGCACCAAAACAGAAAATCAGGCGAGGAAATCACAAAATAAATTCTATGGGGGACAGGGGGCTGGTTATGAACACACAACAAAGTAATAAATAACAAACAATTCTGAGACAGTCCAGTCTCCTACACTAAGAAATGGACAATAAACAAAATGCAGTCACTCTTAGATTTTAAAAACTTTTATAATCCATCATTTGTGTTGTGACACCTGTGTCAGATATACAAATGCACATCAGCAGGAGAGAATTCTCTCTCAGCTATTAGTTTATACAGCAGAGGTAGCGTGCAGCAATGTGTTGGTTCAGCTGCTTCCTTAAAATGTCTTTCTGTTTCTTGTATCTACACGAATAAGAGTTGATCTTCTCTATATTACAAAGAATGTTTAACCGTTGATCGACTGGGTTTCACACGTTAGTTAATTTGTTCTAAGCCCTCGAGTTCCACTGTTTAGAGACAAACACACGAAATACCACCATAACAGTGCAACTTCTGTGAGTGTGTGTGTGTGTGTGTGTGTGTGTGTGTGTGTGTGTGTGTGTGTG